ATGTATATATAGAGAACAAAGGTCCACAAGATAATATAAGAGAGAACAAAAACTTTGAGGTTGAAAACCGTTTGTTTTTGAAAACAAGTCTTTTAACTTCAAACGGATTGAGAGAGAAGCTTGGTCACATGATTGTGCACATACAGCTTCTTCCACTTCCATGATGGAACTCGTCGTCCGATTCACCCACTTCACTGCAAATTCAATCAGAGCAATATTGTTTCTCAAAACAAGTCTTGGTGATATGGTAATATTTCTAAAAGTTTAAAAGTTGATTAGTCTTTGGTCGCTTATTCACGATCCAGCGAGTTATAATATACAAACATGTAAACGACATTATCATCAAATCGCAGACTATTTTTACATGGAAATACCAATCTTAAGCAGTGAGGAACATCATTTACCCTATGAGATGCATCTACATTTGTGGAATACTCTACGCTAACAAAGAGCAGTTCGAAATTTTTCTGAAAAAATCTAAATTTCATGATAGAAAGCATCCATACCTAGGTTCAAATTCTCTGACCTCAGCAATCTCAATACCACATGTATCAGGCCACTGCACTTTCCTTCTGTCTGAGTGATCCACCACGCCATTTCTACTCACATCATCATCAGCAAGAACAACATCGCTAAACGATCTTTTCTTCAGGCTGCTCTTAAGGGCAAACCTATTAGCGACTTCACAGGTATTATAGTCCACGCTCGGTGCACGATCGCGATGAACCGAAGAGTTAGAATGGAAACCTTGTGGCTGAGATGGATTTTCCGGTCTCTCAGATTTACGACCAAAGCATATAAGGGAAGTGCAGCTACATGAGAGACAGTTCTTAGACGAATCTAACTGAAATCTTGTATCGGATTCTTCAACTACTAAATGATAATGGTTCCATGATGATGATACTCTCATGGGTTTTTTATCTTCATTCTTGTGCCCTAATAGAAGAAGTGCTAAACCGTTGCTATACCCAGAAGCTGATGAAGAGAAGAATCCTCCTCCTTCTGCTGCAAATAACATCTCTAATAATGCTCATTTGCACATCCAACAACAGTTTTTTTCTTTGTGCAGACTCCAATCCCTAAACCATAATCAAGAATCAAATCCAATCAATTTAACAAAAGAGACCTGTTACAGATTTACTTTGTTCTCTAAAAATAAGCCCACAAAAACAGACATTAACAAACAAATTCTGAAATGAGAGCAAATTCAGCAACTAAATCTATGACAGAGATCAGGAATGATGCTTGAAGCTATAGGAAACCAGAAAACTCAACGAATTTAAAAACCACTCTGAAACACTATCTAGTGAGTTCCATTTTACTTGAGGCTTCAGATTTAGAAGGAAGTAGTAAAAAGGAAGTAGAAGAAGCAAACTGGGTATCACCTTACGGATCTGAGGTATGATAACCGGAGGGAATGCCGGCGGTAACGCAGACAGAGTTCCGGCGAGGAGCAAAG